GCTATACAAGGGATGCAAAATGAGTTACTAACCCAGTTGTCCGATAAAATGGCTCAGTTAATAGACAATAATCTTGCGGCACGTCTGCTGCCAATAGGTGTGAATAACTATTAATTGTATACGTTTTAAAAACAACGATAATCGTCCTTATGCCGAAGTTAAGTTATTGGATAGGGTAGTGACTGGATTGTTGGATACTGGAGCAGCTATAAATGTCATCGGCGGCAAGTTGGCAGAGCAGCAGAGTCAGATTCAAGAGTGTCTCTACGGTAGCACATACAGCAGATGGAACGAAGCAGGACGTCATAGGAAAATTGAAAACCGAAGTGATTTTCAAGGACGTAGCTAAGGAGCTCGAGTTTCACATTGTGCCGTCCTTGAGCCAGGATCTGTACTTAGGGATACATTTTTGGAAAACATTTGATTTGTTACCATCGTCTATGCAAGTCTCTGAAATAGTGTCAGGTAACCATATGCTGTCCGATGACCAACGAAGTAGCCTCAGTGAGGTGGTGGCCAAATTTCCCTCATTCCCCGTATCCGGTCTGGGAAAAACTACATTAATTTCCCATGAAATTGATGTCGGTGATGCTAAACCGGTTAAACAGCGTCATTTTCCTGTATCCCCATGCGGTAGAAAAGTTGCTATATGCCGAAGTTGACAGAATGCTGGAAATGGGAGTGATAGAGGAGTCTCAGAGTGCATGGTCATCACCAGTCGTTCTTGTTCAGAAGCCAGGGAAGGTCCGTTTGTGTTTAGAAAGTCGAAAAGTAAATGCTGTGACGAAAAAGGATGCGTATCCTTTACCGCAGATCGATGGTATCTTGTCAAGACTCCCGAAGGCATTATTCATCTCGAGTTTGGATTTGAAAGATGCCTATTGGCAGATCCCGTTAGATCCAAAATCGCGCGATAAAACGGCTTTTACCATTCCGGGGAAGCCGCTTTATCAGTACAAAGTGATGCCATTCGGGCTTACAAACGCCTCACAAACCATGACGCGCCTAATGGACAAGGTCATACCAGCCAATCTGCGTAACGAGGTTTTTGTTTACTTGGACGATCTGTTGGTGGTGTCGGATAGCTTTGTAACCCACCTAAAGTTGTTAGGCTTAGTAGCTGAACAAGTAAAGATCGCTGGTTTAACTCTTAACGTGGAAAAAAGCCATTTTTGTATGCGATCGGTCAAGTATTTAGGCCACATAGTTGGGGAAGGAGTTATACGGACTGATCCAGATAAAATATCGGCAATGTCGGAATTTCCGCTTCCAAAAAGTTTAAAATCTCTCCGCAGTTTCTTGGAAATGGTAGGCTGGTATCGCAAATTTATCAGTAATTTTGCCTCGGTAGCAGCCCCACTAACTGACTTGCTTAAACCTAAGAAAAAATTTCAGATGACTCCAGAAGGCGAAACGGCCTTTAACCAGCTAAAAACTATGCTATGTTCTGCTCCTGTCTTACGCTGCGCAGATTTCAACAAGCCCTTTTTCGTGCAATGGGGGGAGTCTTGGTACAGAAAACTGAGGAAGGTGACGAATATCCGATTGCATTTGTGTCAAAAAAATTAAACAAGGCACAACGTAACTATTCAGTTACGGAGCAAGAATGTTTAGCCGCTATAGTATGCATAAAACGGTTCAGGCCCTATATCGAAGGACATGAATTTACTGTCATAACCGACCATGCGTCACTTAAATGGCTCATGTCCCAGACCGATTTACATTCTCGTTTAGCTCGGTGGGCACTCAAGCTCCAAGGCTTAAATTTTAAGATAGAGCATCGAAGTGGTAGACTGAACGTTGTACCAGATGCTTTGTCAAGGGTAAACGAGGCCGAGTTAGCATCTATTGATTCGAGCCATGGGTTGTTAGTCGATCTTCAGTCGCCACATTTCAGATCTGAAGAATATGTGAAGAGAGCGAAAAGGGTAGAGGCAAACCAGGCTAATTTGCCAGACTTGAAGGTAGTAGATGATGGACTGCTATATAGAAGATCAGAGCATGCTACTGGCGACCAGCTGCATGATACATTTATTTGGAAGCTTTGGATTCCCGAAGAATTAGTAGCTGAGGTTTTGAAGAAGTCCCACGATGATCCACTTGCTTCACAAGGAGGTGTACACAAAACTTTGAAGAGAATTCGCAGATATTACTTTTGGCCTGGTCTAGTTAATGACGTTAAGTCATACATTCAATCCTGTGAAACTTGTAAAACCACCAAGTATCCAAACAGAACACAGCGACCGCCAATCGGCGTGGCACCAGAATCACAGTGGTTCTTTCAGCGGTTATATGTGGACTTCCTAGGCCCATATTCCAGATCTCGCTCTGGCAATGTGGGAATTTTCATTGTGTTGGATCATTACTCCAAATTTGTATTTCTAAAAGCAGTTAAGAAGCTCTCAGCAGATGTGGTGATAAAATATATGCAACAAGAATTATTCCACACGTTCGGATTCCCAGAGACAATAGTATCGGATAACGGATCACAGTTCAAGGCAGAAGCTTTTCAGAAGTTTCTAAGGGTGTACCAGATATCGCACACCCTTACAGCGGCCTACTCACCGCAGGCGAATGCTTCTGAAAGGGTGAACCGATCAGTCATCGCCGCCATTCGATCGTATTTAAGAGGTGACCAGAAAGATTGGGATGAGCAGCTCAGTAGCATATGTTGTGCTCTTCGTTCGGCAGTTCATTCATCTATAGGGACCACACCGTACTACATGGTATTTGGGCAACACTTTCTCTCATCCGGATCTTCCTACAAATTTTTAAGATCGTTGGGATGTCTGGAGGACAGATCCGCGATGCTGACACGAGAAGATTCTCTGGTCAGAAAGAAGGCTCAAGAAGTCCTGACCAAGCAAAATGCCAAAAATGAGCGCCAATACAATTTGAGGACAAGAGAGGTTGCATACAGCGAAGGGCAAGAAGTATACCGAAAAAATTTCAGAGTAGTTTTCTAACAGGATATAGCTCGAAATTGGGACCAACGTATGTCAAAGCCAGAGTCCGAAAGAAATTAGGGAATTCTTGCTATGAGTTGGAAGATTTACAAGAAAAATTGGTAGGTCGTTTTCACGCCAAAGATCTGAAACAGTAGGCTCAAGGAACTACAAGCTTGAGGGTGATCATCCTTCGGGATTTGAATCCCCAAGTCTGATCTTAGGAGGGGGCATTTGTAGCGCTTGTAGTGTGGCATATGTAGAGTAACGTTAGCGCCATCTAGGAGTCGCTCTGCGAACGGGATTGGGGAAAAAGGAAAGCAGCAAGGAGAGTAACAGACCCTTCTGTCAACTTTCCCTGGCTCTATCTCCCAGGTTCGGCTAGGGGTTACCGCCACTTTTTCGGCGTCTATATCTTTCTTTTCCAATCGCTTCGTCAAAGGCGAAAGTTGTGCTGGGAAGGAATAGTCCCAAGTCTGAGTTTTTTTTACCAGTGCAAACTCAAGCAGCCCGTAGCCAGAGACTGGAAAAGCAAACTTGTGTAAGTTCAGCGTAGCTCTAAGGCCTAGCGGCTTAATTCGAAACTTATTGGAAAAAATTTTAATTTGTGAGCGAAAGTGGTGACAAATAGGCAAAGGCAAACATTGAGTGATTTTAATATATGTGGATCGATTTTAACTGAGTGATTTCTGCCCTGTGACTCGAGTTTTTTTGTGTCGTTTGTCTTGTAAAAAAAAAAAAAAAATTTATTTTTTGATTACCAGGTTTTTCTCAGGAAAGCGCTTTCTTCGAGGAGGACCTCCACTACATTTTGGTGAGCAAGTGATTTTTAACAGAAAAAAAATTGCCAAAGAAATGGCACTGAAACGACAAGTCCAAAATATGTAAATTCAGCCAAAAAAAAAAAATAAGGAGGGAAAAAAAAAGAATGAGAGTCCAAAGGTTAGAAGTGCAAAAAAATATTTAATAACCAATTTGCGTGTTTTTGCTTTCCTCAAATTTTACTTAAATCTTGCAAAAAACAGTCCGATTCGCCTTTGCCAATATAGAAAAAAATGTAAAGAAAATTTAAAGAGAAAAATTAATAGTAATTCTAGACTAGTTTTTTTGTTCAATTGATTTTATTAAACTTTTCGCATTTGGCCGCATGAATATTTATTATCTATTCTAACTACCTTATCGTACCATTTATGACCATTCTACTTTACATATTTTATATTTTAATATTTTTATATTTGTATGCTTTTATAAGTTTCTATGCTAGGTTTTAATTTGTGTTATTTATTTCGAAATTGTCCAATGAGTCACCCGTATTTTTCTATTAGGTTTTAAATAAAATTATAATGTTTTAATTCCACCGATTTTATTTGACTCGACATGATATGAACCCCTGACACCCCTGCACACCAATGGGACCGCTTAAATATTTATATATCTTTGTGGTAATAAAGCGGTCAAAGGAAGGGAGGGCAATATGAATCTCTACCAACATCTGAGATTTTCTGGTGTGCCGTTTCCGTTTGATTTCCGTAAATTCTGTTTCAAATATGTAGTATTTTGTCCCTTTGTTTTAGCTTGTCCTTTCACGCGAATTCCTTTTGAAATAAATAATGCAAATAGGCGATACGAGAGAAGTAGCAAAGACCTACACCATTAGTCGACGAGCACAGCCGGAGAACATTTCGCGTGAGCGCTTCTTTCGAGTAACACCTTAGCCTGAATAATTATTAATGTTCGTTACATTGCGGAAGTAGAAACTAGAACAGGCCGGTGTATGTTTTTCAAATAAACCTAAACGGTAAACAACATAAAAAGTACGATGAAATTCCATTTAAAAAATAATTGCTTAATATTTTATGGTTTAAACAAATACAGATCCATCTATGCAAAATATATTCAAATTGATCGCATTAAAACCTTTCATCAGGTTTCGCCGAAATCAGTGCTTAAACTTGTTTTTTGAAAAAGTTTATATTGGATGGTGGCGAGCGAATCCTATTCTAAATTTATGATTAATTAAAGGCTTTTCATTTACCCTTTTTTTATTTTATACAGCGGGACGATCGACTACGACCGGAGGATCAGGTGCTGATGCGGGCACTGCGGGATTTTAATATACCCAAAATTGTAACTGATGATGTGCCCGTTTTCATGGGATTAATTGGAGACCTGTTTCCAGCACTTGATGTGCCGCGGAAACGCAATCCAGAGTTTGAATCTGTTATCAAGCGGTCCGCCATAGATCTTAAGCTTCAACCAGAAGATGGATTTATTCTAAAAATAGTTCAGTTAGAGGAGCTTTTTGCCGTTCGTCACTCAGTTTTCATTATCGGCTTTGCTGGCACTGGAAAATCAGAAGTATGGAGGACCTTAAACAAAACATATCAAAACCAAAAGAGAAAAGCTCATTATAATGATCTAAATCCTAAAGCGGTAACGAATGATGAACTTTTCGGCATCGTCAATCCGTCCACGCGTGAGTGGAAGGATGGGCTGTTTTCCATTCTAATGCGTGACCAAGCCAATCTTGGGGGTACAGGCCCGAAATGGATTGTTCTAGATGGGGATATTGACCCCATGTGGATTGAGAGCCTTAACACTGTAATGGATGATAACAAAGTATTAACCTTAGCCAGTAACGAGCGCATTGCACTGACTAAAGAAATGCGTCTTCTTTTTGAAATTGCATCGCTGCGCACAGCAACACCAGCCACAGTGTCAAGAGCAGGCATATTATATATTAATCCGCAGGACTTGGGTTGGACCCCATTTATACAGTCTTGGCTTGGAACTCGTACAAATTCTAGCGAAGTGTCCATGCTTAACGTTCTATTTGATAAGTATGTACCTCCCCTCCTCGAGATCTTTCGGAATCGACTGAAGTCGATAACGCCTATTTCAGATATTGCACGTTTGCAAATGACCTGTTTTCTTTTGGACAGCATGCTAACACCTCAAAATGTACCTAACGATTGTCCAAAAGACTGGTACGAGATTTATTTTGTCTTTTGTATTGTTTGGGGCTTTGGCTCCTCGCTTTTCCAGGACCAGATTATTGATTGGCGAAATGAATTTAGTAAGTGGTTCTTAAACGAATATAAAGCGGTCAAGTTTCCACCCTCTGGAACTATATTTTCCTTCTATATTGACAATGAAACAAAAAAATTTTTGCCGTGGACAAATTTAGTTCCAGATTTCGAGTTAGACATGGACCTGCCTTTGCAGTCAAACTTGGTAAACACAGCAGAGACAACACGTCTCCGATTTTTTATGGATACTCTTATTGAGGCAGACCATCCGTTGATGTTGATTGGACCCTCTGGATCTGGAAAAACAATCTTAATGAATGCTAAGCTCAATGCTCTGCCAACAGACAAATATGCTTTAACAAACGTTCCATTTAACTTTTACACAACATCTGAGATGCTTCAGCGCATTCTAGAAAAACCATTAGAGAAGAAAGCTGGTCGGAACTATGGTCCAATTGGTAACAAGCGAATGATATACTTTGTTGATGATATGAATATGCCAGAGGTAGACAAATACTTCACTGTACAACCACATACATTAATCAGACAGTTTATGGATTATCACCATTGGTATGACAGACAGAAAATGACTTTGCGGGATATACATCAATGCAATTTTGTGGCTTGCATGAATCCTTCGGCAGGTTCATTCACAATAGATCCGCGTCTCCAGCGACACTTTTGCTCCTTTGCTGTAAAGTAAGTTTATAACCGATTTACTTCTCATACTCTATTGTTTTTTGGGCTAAGTGTATTTCTGAAAACTTAGCCGACCTATTCCTGAAATATTATTAGTTTAAATCAAAGAAAAGCTCTTGATAGCTAAGCAAAAAATAAAGAAGGCTTCTTTAACTATAAATATAACTATATAACTACATAACTATATAACTATATAACTATATAACTATATAACTATATAACTATATAACTATATAACTATATAACTATATAACTATATAACTATATATAACTATATAACTATATAACTATATAACTATATAACTATATAACTATATAACTATATAACTATATAACTATATAACTATATAACTATATAACTATATAACTATATAACTATATAACTATATAACTATATAACTATATAACTATATAACTATATAACTATATAACTATATAACTATATAACTATATAACTATATAACTATATAACTATATAACTATATAACTATATAACTATATAACTATATAACTATATAACTATATAACTATATAACTATATAACTATATAACTATATAACTATATAACTATATAACTATATAACTATATAACTATATAACTATATAACTATATAACTATATAACTATATAACTATATAACTATATAACTATATAACTATATAACTATATAACTATATAACTATATAACTATATAACTATATAACTATATAATATAACTATATAACTATATAACTATATAACTATATAACTATATAACTATATAACTATATAACTATATAACTATATAACTATATAACTATATAACTATATAACTATATAACTATATAACTATATAACTATATAACTATATAACTATATAACTATATAACTATATAACTATATAACTATATAACTATATAACTATATAACTATATAACTATATAACTATATAACTATATAACTATATAACTATATAACTATATAACTATATAACTATATAACTATATAACTATATAACTATATAACTATATAACTATATAACTATATAACTATATAACTATATAACTATATAACTATATAACTATATAACTATATAACTATATAACTATATAACTATATAACTATATAACTATATAACTATATAACTATATAACTATATAACTATATAACTATATAACTATATAACTATATAACTATATAACTATATAACTATATAACTATATAACTATATAACTATATAACTATATAACTATATAACTATATAACTATATAACTATATAACTATATAACTATATAACTATATAACTATATAACTATATAACTATATAACTATATAACTATATAACTATATAACTATATAACTATATAACTATATAACTATATAACTATATAACTATATAACTATATAACTATATAACTATATAACTATATAACTATATAACTATATAACTATATAACTATATAACTATATAACTATATAACTATATAACTATATAACTATATAACTATATAACTATATAACTATATAACTATATAACTATATAACTATATAACTATATAACTATATAACTATATAACTATATAACTATATAACTATATAACTATATAACTATATAACTATATAACTATATAACTATATAACTATATAACTATATAACTATATAACTATATAACTATATAACTATATAACTATATAACTATATAACTATATAACTATATAACTATATAACTATATAACTATATAACTATATAACTATATAACTATATAACTATATAACTATATAACTATATAACTATATAACTATATAACTATATAACTATATAACTATATAACTATATAACTATATAACTATATAACTATATAACTATATAACTATATAACTATATAACTATATAACTATATAACTATATAACTATATAACTATATAACTATATAACTATATAACTATATAACTATATAACTATATAACTATATAACTATATAACTATATAACTATATAACTATATAACTATATAACTATATAACTATATAACTATATAACTATATAACTATATAACTATATAACTATATAACTATATAACTATATAACTATATAACTATATAACTATATAACTATATAACTATATAACTATATAACTATATAACTATATAACTATATAACTATATAACTATATAACTATATAACTATATAACTATATAACTATATAACTATATAACTATATAACTATATAACTATATAACTATATAACTATATAACTATATAACTATATAACTATATAACTATATAACTATATAACTATATAACTATATAACTATATAACTATATAACTATATAACTATATAACTATATAACTATATAACTATATAACTATATAACTATATAACTATATAACTATATAACTATATAACTATATAACTATATAACTATATAACTATATAACTATATAACTATATAACTATATAACTATATAACTATATAACTATATAACTATATAACTATATAACTATATAACTATATAACTATATAACTATATAACTATATAACTATATAACTATATAACTATATAACTATATAACTATATAACTATATAACTATATAACTATATAACTATATAACTATATAACTATATAACTATATAACTATATAACTATATAACTATATAACTATATAACTATATAACTATATAACTATATAACTATATAACTATATAACTATATAACTATATAACTATATAACTATATAACTATATAACTATATAACTATATAACTATATAACTATATAACTATATAACTATATAACTATATAACTATATAACTATATAACTATATAACTATATAACTATATAACTATATAACTATATAACTATATAACTATATAACTATATAACTATATAACTATATAACTATATAACTATATAACTATATAACTATATAACTATATAACTATATAACTATATAACTATATAACTATATAACTATATAACTATATAACTATATAACTATATAACTATATAACTATATAACTATATAACTATATAACTATATAACTATATAACTATATAACTATATAACTATATAACTATATAACTATATAACTATATAACTATATAACTATATAACTATATAACTATATAACTATATAACTATATAACTATATAACTATATAACTATATAACTATATAACTATATAACTATATAACTATATAACTATATAACTATATAACTATATAACTATATAACTATATAACTATATAACTATATAACTATATAACTATATAACTATATAACTATATAACTATATAACTATATAACTATATAACTATATAACTATATAACTATATAACTATATAACTATATAACTATATAACTATATAACTATATAACTATATAACTATATAACTATATAACTATATAACTATATAACTATATAACTATATAACTATATAACTATATAACTATATAACTATATAACTATATAACTATATAACTATATAACTATATAACTATATAACTATATAACTATATAACTATATAACTATATAACTATATAACTATATAACTATATAACTATATAACTATATAACTATATAACTATATAACTATATAACTATATAACTATATAACTATATAACTATATAACTATATAACTATATAACTATATAACTATATAACTATATAACTATATAACTATATAACTATATAACTATATAACTATATAACTATATAACTATATAACTATATAACTATATAACTATATAACTATATAACTATATAACTATATAACTATATAACTATATAACTATATAACTATATAACTATATAACTATATAACTATATAACTATATAACTATATAACTATATATAACTATATAACTATATAACTATATAACTATATAACTATATAACTATATAACTATATAACTATATAACTATATAACTATATAACTATATAACTATATAACTATATAACTATATAACTATATAACTATATAACTATATAACTATATAACTATATAACTATATAACTATATAACTATATAACTATATAACTATATAACTATATAACTATATAACTATATAACTATATAACTATATAACTATATAACTATATAACTATATAACTATATAACTATATAACTATATAACTATATAACTATATAACTATATAACTATATAACTATATAACTATATAACTATATAACTATATAACTATATAACTATATAACTATATAACTATATAACTATATAACTATATAACTATATAACTATATAACTATATAACTATATAACTATATAACTATATAACTATATAACTATATAACTATATAACTATATAACTATATAACTATATAACTATATAACTATATAACTATATAACTATATAACTATATAACTATATAACTATATAACTATATAACTATATAACTATATAACTATATAACTATATAACTATATAACTATATAACTATATAACTATATAACTATATAACTATATAACTATATAACTATATAACTATATAACTATATAACTATATAACTATATAACTATATAACTATATAACTATATAACTATATAACTATATAACTATATAACTATATAACTATATAACTATATAACTATATAACTATATAACTATATAACTATATAACTATATAACTATATAACTATATAACTATATAACTATATAACTATATAACTATATAACTATATAACTATATAACTATATAACTATATAACTATATAACTATATAACTATATAACTATATAACTATATAACTATATAACTATATAACTATATAACTATATAACTATATAACTATATAACTATATAACTATATAACTATATAACTATATAACTATATAACTATATAACTATATAACTATATAACTATATAACTATATAACTATATAACTATATAACTATATAACTATATAACTATATAACTATATAACTATATAACTATATAACTATATAACTATATAACTATATAACTATATAACTATATAACTATATAACT